TGTATTATCATTCTTTAGTATTTAAATAAATAAGTAAATAAAGTATGTGTTTTTAATTTTCTCAGGCTTGAACAACAGTAAAGAATAAAATAGTATAAATACTGTAAAAAGAAAAGAAATTGTGTCAATTTGCTTCATATGCTCAGGAGCTGAACTAATTGTAAGAAAGATAAAGTTAATCCCGCGCTTTAATTCTGAACTTGAAAAAAGATCCAAAGCAACTTATGCTCTCCTGATACAAATGTTGGAATTTATGAAAATTTTCGGTTTTGAGCCAAATACGAAGGTTGGTCAGAAAGTAATGGAAAAATCAAAAATTTGAAAAAAGACCCAATGTAACTTATGCTCTCCTAATACAAATGTTGGAATTTACGAAAATTTTCGATTTTGAGGCAAATACAAGGGTTGGTCAGAAAGTAATGGGAAAATCAAAAATTTGGAAAAAGACCCATTGCTACTTATGCTCTCCTGATACAAATGTTGGAATTTACGAAAATTTTCGATTTTGAGGCACATACAAGGGTTGGTCAGAAAGTAATGGAAAAATCAAAAATTTGGAAAAAGACCCATTGCAACTTATGCTCTCCTGATACAAATGTTGGAATTTACGAAAATTTTCGGTTTTGAGTCAAATACAAGGGTTGGTCTGGAAGTAATGGAAAAATTTAAAAATTGTTTTTTGAAATTTTGTTATTCCATAACTTTTTGACCGGCCCTCGTATATGACGCAAAACTGAAAATTTTGTTAAATCTGAAAATTTGTATTAGGAGAGCATAAGTCGCAAAAGGTCTTTTTAAAAGTATCAATTTTTAGCGCGGGATCAACTATATCGCAGTCTTGTTTTTCGTTTTTCTACATCGTTCGGCATTGAAACGTTTAATTGTACTATTACTATCATAATTTACGTTCATTTCCAGTATAACTATTAATTAAATTTTTCAAAAGATAACTTAGTGTTATTTTTAATAAGTTTGTAACTGTTTATATCAAAATGAGCTTTATTTAGCAATTTTATTGTATATTTTATTTAAATAAAATAAAATTTGTTCAATA